TCATTTTTCGCAGGGCATTGGCTCACTTCCTGCTAATGCCGTTGTTCCCCCTCCCCCACTATTACTGACCAAAAACATACCTTGCGATTTCCAAGTAGCCTCCAGGGGGCAGTGCTTCCCTGTTTCGAACCCCTGTCCTCGACAGGCCCATCCCCGGGGCTTTCCATCTTCTCTGAAAGTTACCCCCATATTTCAGTCCAGGCTGAACACCCCCAGCAGTTCTTGCTCTTCTCGCCAAACTCTTCCTCTCGCTCTTCCTGTTTCAGTCAGTGCCACCACCACATACCCGGCTGGTGAGTCAGAAACTTAGGACTCATCCTTGACCCCTCCTCTCCGTCACCCTGCGTCAGCGTCTTCCATCACCTCCTCCACCACCAAGGTCTTCGGAGCTTGCCTCGAGGCTGCTCTTGCCTCTGGTGGTCTAATATCGAGAGGTAGTCAGGGGGCCCTTCTAAATAGAAACCCAGTCACGTCATTCTGCTGACAGCCCTCCCGGCCGCATTGCCCAAAGGATCCATCCAGCAGGGCCAAGCACCCTGGACCTGGCGCCTTCCTGCTCACCTCACCGCCCTGCTGCTCCGCCTCTGCGTCCCCACCGCACCTGCCCCCACAGTTCACCCCTCAGGGTCCACAAGTGTGTTCCTCCTCCAGTTTCCAGGGTGCGCCCTCACTTCCTTCAGGTGTCACACATGTCACCTGGTCCCTGACCTGGCTCTCTGTGGACTTCCCTATCATCTCACCCTGTGGAGTCAGCTTTACCTTTCGTCACACACTTACTGCCTGAAATTATACATTTATTTTACTTATTTGTTTTCTGTCTCCCTTCTGAGAATGCAGCCTCATTAGGTAGGATGTGGGCTTTCCTTTCACCACAGTGTCTGGAACAGTGGCTGATACATAGAAAACACACAATAAGTACTTGATTATTTAAAACATTCGCAGGCTGGTCTGTTAGGTGTGCGACACCCTGCCCTGCTCTGCATTGAGAGTGGAGTGGGACATGGTCCATCCACAGGGGCACCGTGCCGAGGCCCAACGGAAAGAGCGGCTTTCTCACCACCACGCACCAGCTGCAGCGCCTCGTGCCGCATGCCCTCAGCCCACCAACCTGGGCCTCTTAGACACACTCAGATGGCCCCTCCTCCAGGGAGCCTTCCGTGATAGCGCACCAGCATACATCACACACAGGTGCACATGCACACACACATGGTCCCTGTGTGGCTACCTCTGCGTCCGGTCCCTGCACAGGTGTCTGTGTCCCTGGCCTCACTGTGTCATGGCTGTCGGCACAGCTCTCTTCTCAGTGACTCTTTTTTTTTTACAGAAGAATTTTTTTTACTTTGTAAAGATATTTTAAAAAAAATTTTTAATTGATTTTAGAGAGGAAAGGAGAGGGATAGAAACATTAATGATGAGAGAGAATCATTGATTGGCTGCCTCCTGTATCCCCCCTACTGGGGATTGAGCCAGCAACCTGGGCATGTGCCCTTGATCAGAATCAAACCTGGGACCCTTCAGTCCACAGGCTGACGCTCTATCCACTGAGCCAAACCAGCCAAGGCCTCAGTGACTCTTTTCCACTAGACTGAGCTCCCCTGAGCTGGGACCGTGTCCCCAGGCTCAGCAGGGATCTGGTTACAAAGTAGACAGGAAGTGTTTGTTGAGTGAATGGAGGGTTAAATCCGGATAAAGTGATTGAAACCCTGCTCACCGTTGCACGGCTGTCAGTTGAGGGGAAGAAAGACATCACATGGTCTGTCCGTCCCAGCGTGGGCCTGGCTGAGGGAGCCGGGTGGAGGGACTGACTGCTCGTTCCCCCCCAGGCCTGCTCTCCATGGCCAACTCCGGCCCGAACACCAACGGCTCCCAGTTCTTCCTGACGTGTGACAAGACGGACTGGCTGGACGGCAAGCACGTGGTGTTCGGGGAGGTCACGGAAGGCCTGGATGTCTTGCGGCAGATCGAGGTGGGTGCTGCCCAGGCCTCGGTGCACAGCCCGTGGGACAGCAGAGCGGCGCCCTGTGGCCTGGAGGGAGTACGTGTGAGAGGCGCCTTCTCTGCACCGCCCCGCACATCCAGGATCCGGCAGCCCCGGGGACCCAGCACCTGTTAACGGGGGTCTGTGCCGTGGCCTCCTCGGGCTCAGCTTGGAGCAGCTCCTCTGCAGGCGCGGCCTGGCCTTCCCCTGGCTCTTCCAAGCACAGGTGCCACCCTCCCCACCGTGGACGGCTGTGCGTGGCCTTTCTCCTGGTAAAACAAACCCCAGTTCCTGTACAGCTGCCTGCTAGCCAGGTCCCAGCATTTCCGGAGGTTGCAGCTGTCACTGTCTGTCCTGCCCCTCCCCTGCTGCTCCCTCCTCCCAGGCTGTCCCCAAGGCACACCCTCGTTGGACCATGCAGAGCAGCAGAGGTCAGAGCAGGTGCCCTCCTAGTACCTGACAGGTGCGTTGGGTTAGCCAGACTGCAGTTCTGCTCTCACACCTGCTGGTCTTGAGTCTAATGGGTCCCCATAGTCTCGGGCCTGTTTACTGGTTCATTGAGCCACCGAGCCAGGGGTCACAGCTGCGACCGCAGAGTGCCAGGGCCCTTCTTTTGCCAGGCACCGTGCCTGGTGCTGGGGACACGTAAGAAACAAGCCTTGTGTTCGCTTCAGCAGCACGTATACTAACAATGGAGGAATAAGAGGACTAGCAGGGCCCCTGTGCAAGGATGACACGCAAGTGCGTGAAGCGGTCCAAACTTAAAAAAGAAAGAGAAGCCTTCTCCCCTCCCCCTGGAAATTGAAGTCTGGTGCCACGGTCTGTAGCCTGTGTGAGGCCGGCCTCACCTGCACAGTTGGGGCTGGCTAGGCCCCCTCACGACCTCTCATGCTGAGGCTGAGCCCCAAAAACCTCCAGGGCTGCCACTGCTCCCGCCGCCTGAATCAAATCTCGACATTCAGAAACCGCGGGGCTGGTTCTCATTTTGGGTTGAGATCAGGTTGAGCCTGGAGGGGAGGGAAGCAGAGGGGCCCACTGGCCTGTGGCCCCGTGTCCCAGGCCTGCTCCTGCAGAGGGATGGATGAGCCCACCTCTGGCATCGGGAGCTCGCTGCACGGCCCACAGTGTTCCCAGCAGAGACCCTTGCTGCTTGGCCTAGGCGTCCCGCTCACAGGCGGTCAGTCACAGCTGCCAGGACCGGCAGCAGGGAGGCCAGGAGAATCGCAGCCATTCAGGGCATGGCCAGTCTGGGTGTGACAATGCTGCTACATGGAGCAGGCTGGGCAGGAGGGAGGGCTGGTCTCACAACCCTGAGAGACCAGGGAGAGGCTGTGGGGGACCTCGTCGCTCACTGGGCTTCCCTGGTGTCCTGGGCAGGTGGGAACAGGTGGGGGGCCAGGAGGCTGGTGTGGGGGACAATAGGGTGCTGGCTGCTCACCCCCGGGTCCACCCTGACCCTTGTACAGGTGCTCACCCTGAGGTGAGGTTGCAGGGCCAGCCCAGGGACCGCGGGGGTGGTCTCTTCCCCTGTCCTCTGGGAGGACCGCTGAGACCTGGTTTGTAAGAAAAAAAAGGCAGGTCTAGATGTGGAATGCTGCTTAAATTATGTTTTCAAAGAATATTTAATAATTTCAGAATATATCAAATTGAATAAGTCAGATCACCAAGCAGTGCATAGGATATGATTCTTACTTTGTAAAATATCTGTATCTTATGTATAAAGACATACATGTGCCAATAAAAAAGCCTGGAGGAATCATTAATTATAGTTTTCTCTGTGGTGGGGTTATGTGTGCTCATACCGTTTTTTATTCTCAGACATTTCCTCAGTATACATGTAATATTTTCCTCAGCATACATGTAATATTTCCTACATGAGGGAAAACCTAGCAAAGAGAGTCAAATGATTGCTCAAGGCTCCCAGAGAGTCATTCCCTTCAACTTCCCATGAGGCCGCAGGTGGACACCGCCGGTCACTGCTGGCCAGGGCTCCACAGGCAGGGGAGGTGCAAGCCCGCCCCTCACACCAAGAGATTACCCACTTTAAAACAAAAATTACCAAGTTTAGATTTTTAGGGAGAGCACAGCTTTGAGGAGAAGACACCAGCACCTCCAGGTGTCCAGGTGGCAACCTGAGACTCGGAAGAGTGAGTTGGAGTAGGCACACACGGAGGCCCACATTTGCAAATTATTTTGAAATAAGACCACTGATAGATGCTACTCACTGCACACACATGCTCAGATGTGCCAAGTGCGCTGTGCACAGCCTGGTCCCCATCACGGCCCTGCAAGGGCAGGAGCAACACCCTTTCTGCAGGGAAGACCGCTAACGCAGGTTACGTAACGTAGTCGAATTAAGAGGCCGAGCTGGGATTTGCTGCCAGGTCTGGTGACAGCCTCCTTTCCTGTGAAATTGTAGGGAATTTCTCGGGGCACATTACCCACTTCCCCACAAACATGAAAGACGAGAGCTGTGCCTGATAAGCTGGCATCGGCCAGGGCTGCGTCCGATTGTGAGGGGTGCTGAGAACAGCAGTTTCCCGCATGGAGTGGCCCCCCTCGCCTGCCTTTGCATCCTGTGTCAGCGTTTACTTTGCCGTCAGTGGGCCTGAGGCGCCCTCCCTTATTCATGCTTCTAATGCGCAGCCTCAAATGTAACCTGGGCTGCCAGGCAACCGACAAGGTGGCCTTGGTAACAGCGCTGCCACCTCTCAGCTTTGCGTCTGTGACGTCTCCCTTCCCCGAGGCCTTTTCCACTGGATGCTGTATGGTGGCCTCCGGGATAGCTGACGGTGCTGGAAGTCACAGGAAAGCCACGGTTGCTGTACTGTCAGCTCAACTGAGTGAAGGGATTCGTATCTCATTCCTGTTTCGCTGGGCGAGGCAGGCTGCATCTTTAAAACATTCATCTCACGCACTTTCCTGGCACCCTTAACTGTGCCAAGTTATGTGTGAGGCACAGCAGAGCCCAAATATTGACATGTAGGCAGTTTCCAGGCCCCCCCTGCCCTGGTGTTGGAAGGAGGGAGATGTTCAGACAGCACACAGGTCAGTGGCTGGCTGAGTTGGAACCAGAATACAGATCTGACATTCCTGCCAATGCCTGGTCCGATCCCTGCCAGCCTGAGCTCAAAGCCCCCGGCGAATGGGGAGCTCCCTGCCTTCCAGACAGTCTGGGACTATCCTCTGTGTACACGGGAAGGGCCTCTTCCTCGGCAATCTCTCCCAGAGTACCTCCCGGTCCAGGGGTCAGGGCTGCAGCCTGGCCCAGCCTCCACCCCTGCCCCAGACCTGCTCTCCCGGAGCCTGCCCTCAGGGTGCAGAGTGGATCCCAGGGTGCGTGTCCTTGGGCACACGGGTCGTTCTGCCTCTGTGGGCCGTGCCTGTGGGTTGGGGTGGGCCCAGGATCTGCTATTAACGACACAGTATTTCAGGGTTCAGGCAGCTGGACTGTCTGCTCCAGCAGGTAAATTACAGGGTTAGCAAGTTAGAAATCAAATCAACACTCCCACTGCCTCGGCTGCTCCAAGGAGAACAGTGGTTTCCGGGAACCTTCCCACCCAGCTCACCCTAATTACCGCCTGTCACTCCCCTGGGACAGAGGCCTTTTCTTGGGCTCACAGGCCCCAAGAAACAGGGCACAGGGTGAGCAGTCTGTTCCTACCTTCTAGACTCCAGCAGACACCGACGGTGGCCACCTTTGCCCTTTGCCTGGCCAGAGGTGGCCTAGGCCCTCTGCTCCGGGGAATGCATTGCTCCCTACAGGGAGGAGCGGAAGCCTGTTCGTCTCAGCTCTGAAAGGTTTGTGTTGAGGTTTTTGAGACCCTGTCCACATTCAGCGGGGAAAGAACCCGGGTGCTCACTGACGGCCATGGGGAGAGGCTGGGCAGTGGTGAGGTCTGTGCCGCGAGTCTGCCAGCACCGCCGCTCGCTGCACACACTGCCCTTGCTTCTGCTAAGAGTTACCTTTGTCCAGTGCTGAGCCCCACCTGGGGGCAGTGAAGGAACTGGAAGCCCCTGAGATTTCTTGCTTCTCTGGGAGTCAGGCCTCTCCAGGCAGGAGGGCAGGCCCAGGGCAGGAGCCCCTCTGGCTTGTTCTTTCTCTGATGTGCTTACTACTGAGGACATGCACGTGTCTCGGCCCTGGAAATGCCCATGTTGTCCTGGAAAGGGGCAACCCCTGCTCCCACCCCCGAACCTTGGCCCAACCAGCCAGCTGTACACTCAGACTGGCCTGGGTCATCCACAGTATGGGCCACGAAGGCCAAGGACAGTCCTAAGACAGGCCCCTGTGCTGACACCATGGCTGCTGTGTGCAGCCGTCCCCACAGGTTGGGGTGGGACAAACCACAGACCTGGGGAAGGGGCGCAGGGGCTGGAGAGGACCGACCAGACCCTGGCTGAATGGGGCAGATAGGAGAGCCCTCCCTTCGGCCCCTCCAGAGCTACGGTGGCATCTGAGGGCCTCCGCCTCTGGAGCGGGGCTGACCCCGGCGGGAGACGCCGCAGCGGCCGGCGGGGCCTCAGTGGCAGCCGCAGGCCTTGACCACCATGTTGCGGTGTTTGCGCAGGATGACGTTGTTGCTGCTGTCATAGTAGAGCACGGAGGTGGCGCTCAGCTTGGTGGGCGCGCAGCACGCCTTGGGCACCGCGTCTGGCTTCATCAGGTGCACCTGGCCGGGGAGGGGGGGAGGACG